TGTCTCTGTGGGAAAAAAAAAAAAAAAAAAAACATAGCTCACCTTGTCAACAACTGGTGGTTGCTGCTCCACTACAGCAGAAGCCGACTGCTCAGGCGACGGCTCGGGCGCCGCAGCAGCGACCGCCGTGGCTCCCGCCATGTAATGTTTTTTGTTGTGGCGCCAAATCGACCCACGTGGCGCAATAGCGTTCGGCGCTAGTCGGGTTCTTCGCGGGAACCAGCTGGCGCCAACGGCCACTGCGCGGGGAATAACTCCCCGCTCGCTGGCGGAGATTGCCGTGGGGGAGAACGCCAGAGTCTCGGCAATTCCCCTGGATGCGCCCGCTACCGCGCAGGAGGGAAGGGTAAGAAGCCCCAGAGAGCGACACGGGAGCAGGCGCGTGCTCGCCTTAGCAGCGATCATGACGACCGTCCGTTCGCCCGTGCCACCGTGTAGCTCTCCGATCGGTTGTCCGCCGATAGCCGCCCGCACAAACGGAGGGGAGGCGGGAACCACAGGCGGCGAAGTGCCAGCGACCACGCGCGGCGGGCGCTTGCTCAAAAACGCGGCAAGAGCGGCAAGAAAGAGCATGTGCCCGCGCGCGCGCACGATGCTGCGGCGGTGGCCGCGGTGTGCGACAACCCCAGCTTCGCTGTTGGCGGTGACGCGCGCACTCCGTACGTACTCCTCGCTCTGCTGAGTCTGCTCCCTTCTTCATCCGAATTTTTGTTTTTTTTCAATTCAGAAGTAAAACTCCGTTCATCTGATTGTAACCTTTTTTTTTAAAAAAAGAGGGATAATTTGCAAAATACCCCTATCGCTTGAGTTATTTGCCAAAATGCCCTAAAAAAATGTGGGTAGAGCGGAATACCCCTCTGACAAAAAAAGTGTTTTGTGAAATGCCCCTGGCGTCGGTATCTTCGCAGAATGTCACAGTACCTGCCAACTTTTCCCAGGCCCTGATTATTTTCGTTTTACCCCTACCCGGCCAGGTCATCTTTACGTTTTGCCCCCTGGCGTTGGAAGCGTACAACGGCCCTTTCCAGGCCCCAGGAAGCCACTGCCGGGCCGAGGTCGTCTTTGTGTTATGTCCGCCAAGACTTCATTTCCTTTTTTCTCTTCGGCCCTCTTCAGCGCCACGACAATCGAGGGTCACGAGCAAGCAATTCATCATCAACGGCAGAAGAAGTGTGATGGGAAACTCACCCAGGTTGCAGGACTGCGTCGCCACTCCTCTACTCCTTGCGGTCCCACTGCCTTGGCCGATCACAGTATAAGTAACTGGAGTCTGACCGGCCAACAGAGTTTGTGAAGCTTCCTGTACCGAGCCCTCCACCGCACGACCTCTTGTGGTGCTCATCGCATACGTGAACCTGTGCGCACACAGCCAGCCAGGTCGCATTCAGACCGAGTCATTTTCCTCGCTGATTTTGGCCAGAGGCTAGCCTTCGGGAACCTCCTGCGTCTGTCTAAGTCGTCACCTCAGTCGGTCAGCAGTCTCAGCAGGTCTGAGTCAAGTCAGTCGGACGGTAAGGTCTCTCCAGTCATGAACCCGTCAGCCTTGTGAACTGGCGACGGCCCTCCGGTCCCCCTCACGTCTTTCCGCCAACCCTACTCATCCAACTCACACCCGCCGTCATGCACCTCTGAGCCCTGAGACCGTGTCCCCCTCCTTCCACTCGCAGCACAATTCCACTCTTCCTGTCTACGACCCTCTCCTTAACTCCTATCCATCCAACCTCACACCCCAAACAGATGAAGCAATTCCGAACACCGAGCTCATCACCGAATTCACTATTCTAATTACTCCTCTCTCATCTAACCCTTCCCCACCTGCGGTTTCTGCTGACGAATCTCTGCAGTCAATCTTCGTCCTAGATACTGGTACAGCTCCTCTCCCTCTCCATCTATACCTTCTTCCTCTCATCACACCAACTTCCTTTTCCAATAAGCAGGCAAAGTATGCCAAGCAGAGGTACGGCTCGAACTTACACATTACAGACCTCATTGAATTCGTGGAAGATGCCGCTTTCTTCATTTTCCAGAATGGCGCCAGAACCTTCTACATCCTAGACAGAGAAAAGGCAGTCACACTGCTCTCTCACTCTTTTTTCTCTCTCATTATCTTCTCTCTCATCTATGTTGGCACCAGGTGCCTGTCTTTTCTCACAGCCGAAGAGCTCACACGTGCAGCAGTCAGCCTGGCCACCTACAAGGAGCACACGCATGACTTACGCATACCTTTCTATTGCTTCTCTCTCTCTCTCTCTCTCTCTCTCTCTCTCTCTCTCTCTCTCTCTCTCTCTCTCTCTCTCTCTCTCTCT